ATCGGACCAACATTTTTCGTCATCCCAGAGCTCATACAGGCTTTTAATAACTTTCATTTTCTCTTCAATACAGATTTTAAGCTTCTCTCTAAACCTTCTCTTGCCTTTAGATGTCGAAGTGCTTATGTATCTGGGATTTAATCCATAAACTCTCTTAAAAGTGTACGTCGTGTATTGATAGCAGCTTGTTTCTGCCACCTAGCCACTTGCGCATGCACACAAAAATGAAAGAAGATGTCAACAAAAACTCTCCCATAGCTCGTAGCTACATTGGCTCCCAGTTTGATGGGAGTCAGTCATCAGCCCCCACAGGCCCGCTCTTTGCTCCTTTCTAGGATTTTCCAGCAGCGGCAAAACATCCAACATGGCAGAGGTGGGAACAGCCCATTGGGCATCAGTAAGTCCTTCAGAGACCTACGGCTGACCGTGCGGAGGCTTCATCTATCTCACATATGAGGTTAATAGTTTTGACTCTTAATTCCTAAACTCTAAATTGCTAATTCTACTGATTCATCACTCAGATGTAGTGTCATGATCTGATCTGTTAGATGTGTCACTTTCTTTTAAAGTTTTCTCTAGGTAGTTTTTCCTCTTCATCCATGTGACTCATCCAGAATATTTTTTATCAAAAGCATTTTGGTTTTGTTGCTTTGTAAAAAAGGATCTGCTCAAATGATTGGTTCTTTCCCAGGGTCAAGCAACAAAATCCAGACCCACCTAAACAAGCTCTGTGAGGATGAAATGACAAATTCCTCAAGTGATGTGACATTTCAGCAGGAATTTGGAGGATGATCTAGAACTCAAGTGGATTTTAAATGAATTCTTATGTCTCATATTAACATTGAAGCAGCAGCCTGAAAACAATATTTAATAGCTCTAACTCGTTTTCTGGTGTTTGGGTCTCTGCTTCAGCAGACAGTTCAGAACATAATGAAGTCTGGATGAAAATAAGTGCTGTGAATTATGACAGCTGCAAACCTGCAGCAGTTTACTTTATAACATCCTCTTAGTGTGTGTCATTTTTTATCTGAAAAGACGCTGCAATCAAAGGCAGTTGTGAGAGAAGTGACAGCATGGGAGAGAAGCTAATATGTTGTTTTCTAATTAGGTGTGAAAGAGCTGAATCGTGTCGCTGCTTATTAAAGCATCCTTCTCCTGTAATCATCTGATGGCTGAGAAGATTATAAATCATCTGATGTTATGATCTGTAGTCAACATTCCTGCAGGAATCAGCAATCATACCAGAGACTACGTATTCCTCTGTAACTGTATCATTTATGCTGATGCTGCTTATACTTTATACTGTTTTAAATATTTTACCCTTTTTTTCTGTGGATGAAGTAATCACGTCTGCTGAATCTTGTTAAACCAATTAAACTAATTTATTTTAATTCTAGTTTAATCAAAAAACACTCATTGGAGACTTAAAAAACATTACTAGTGTTATTCAATTTTGATCCTCCATTTAATTTCTGTGTGCAAAATCATTTAAGTCTGCTGATGGGGTAATTATCCATGCTAACTCAGAGCTGGTGGCACACTCTCTCACTTTCCAACCTTACAGGTTCCGGATCATAAAACTGCTACTTCTAACACCTACAGGCCTCTACAATACTCTGCTTAAGATGTGTGAGTTGCTGTTATTAAATTATATAACTTTTCCTGTGGATAAATGAAAAAAAAAAAAAAAAGAAAAATGACCCACTCATACGTATGTTCTATTACCTAAGCAACCTTTTAAAGAGTATGATTGGGGAAAACTGCTCTAAGGACAGTGTCATGAGCTGGGGTGAGTACTCGTCTCATCATCTCACTATCTCTAAGTGCTTTGGTTTCAGGAGAGGGAGCAACAGCTGTTTCCAATCAGCTGATCAGCGGGCCAGTTTATAAGGAGGAAGGTGGACATGACTCGACGCCAGATGATTAACTACTGACTGGTAGTCTCTAGCCCTCACTTATCTCTGCTCTTGTTCTCTCGTGTTTTTCTCTCGTGACTTGGACTAATTCTATTTTTGGATTTTACCCCACCTCAGGTCTGGATAATCATCAGAGTTTTCCCCGACGACGTTTTGGATTTTTATCTGGTTCGTTTCCTGGTTCACCCTCCTCCAAGTGCCGACCCGATCTCCTCCACCTCTCGCTCCCTCTCCAGGACCACACCGGTCCGGATCCCATTCCTCATTCACCTCAACCACTCTACAGTCATTACCTGGACTTACCCCGGCTCACCCCTTCCACACGCTTCTCGTCTATCCAACCCCCAAATTCCACTACCTCCGCTCCGCTCCGGTCCGCCCCAGCCTTCCGCAGCCGCTCGCTTCCGAACTCAATTTTTACTGGTATCCGCTCTACAACAGCTCCGCTCCGGTGCGGAGACCTGAAGTGGGCAAACAAGCATGCGCGGGATTTTCGAGATCTTGCGATACAGTCCGAGCAATAAACGCGGAAGTTAGATCCAAACACCCGTTGTGTGGGAGAAGCATCGAAATGAACTGTTTAACCTGCCCATCATTTGTGTTGAGAGATCAGCAGTGTTTGGATCAACAAAGTGTGACTACTTTGATAGTGGAAACTGTATTTATGGCTTACTTTTGTGCATTTAAATTTCAGCCGCCATTGATAGTTGTTAAAAGTTGTTAAACCTGTGCATATGAAACAAAAAACGCTTTTTGTTTATCGATTTATTGTGAAAAACGGAAGTTGTGCTCGCTCCTTTTCCTGTTGGGCGGTTGTGATTTCTGTCCATATACTGCGGAGGTGCTCCGGCGTCCGGCGAAAATAGGATCGATTCTATTTTTGTCGGACGCCGGAACAGAGGGCGGCGCACGGCACCGCACTGCCGGAGCACGGCCGCAGTAGTGGAATTGCTCTGATTGACTACAACGGGACCGATTTTGCTCCGGCGTTCGTGTCGGAGCGGAGCGCACTGGAGCGGAGGTAGTGGAATTTGGGGGTAAGCCAGGGATGTCAATCTCAAACTCACACGGGGCCGAAATGAAACTCTGGGACGGAGTCGAGGGCCAAACTTAATATTTTTTGAAAAAGTGACGGCAAATTTGCACATTTTCTTTATCAACATATATGCAGTTTTGAACCTTTAAATTTGGAAACAAACATATTTCTGCATTAACACAGAATGTGGAATAACCAAATTACACACGAGCAAGTCAGTTTTAAATAAAAGGCATCAGTGGTATTCATTACTTGTGGTATATTCAGCATTTTTAAAATCTAGTCAGGATTTATGTTTTCTTTTTTATTCATTTTTCTTATTTTTTATTCACCTTTTCTTCTCCTGTAATATGTGTCATCGCTGCTGTGACGTCTAGCTTTCCCCACTGAGGAACAATAAAGGGATTTTCTATTCTATTCATCTATCTGCAGCCTTTCCACTTCCTGTTTACTGCAGGTTAAATATTTTCTCACGGGCCAACAACAAAATAAAAATATCATTTTATCTTAAATGAAAATGCAACATCTCACCTGTTAACTTTCATGTTTTGGAGCAGAAAAAGAGCATAAAACCAACATATTTAAAGCTCAGTTTGCTCCACTGGTTTACTGTGATGCTCACCTGTTCCAGCCAGATACCTGCATCATGGGGTTGATCTGAGCCACTCCAGCAGGAGTGGAGCATTTAATATAAAATAGAAACTATATCATCTTGGTCGCAACTGTGAAGTAGTTTACCACTAATGCACGGCGTGTTCTTTTAGTATTAAACTGATTAAAGAAGAATGAATAATGACACAACTCGTAAATAATGTCCTCCATATTAATGTAAACATGCTTTTATTATTCTTGAATGCTAATCGGACAGAGATCTAGGAGGAAGGGATTTAGAAATAAAATGTTGAAGTGGACATTTTGTTGCAGTTTGTGATGACGTAAGGCGACAAATAGTAAAATAATAAATAATAACCACAACTGGCTTGATTGAGTAGAGAGGTTGTCATGGTTTGAGGAGAAATCAGAAGACATGACAGCGAGCTCACAACCTGCTAATCTACCTTTTCTCCTGTGATAGAGCTCCTTGACCTGCACTATGTGTGGTTATCTAGTTGCTCTGGAGAGGACAGGAAGGACCTGCAGTGTGTGGTGAAGGTAGCAGAGTGCACAATTGCCCCCCCAACCCCTCTCACCCACGCACACACAGGAAATTCAATTCAATTCAGTTCAAAAATACTTTTTTAATCCCAGAGGGAAACTGATTATTGTCCACACCAGCTGACCAAACTCAGACAGCTGGTTTTCTTGGTGAAATATTTTGTGTTACTTAATTTACTAATTAATGTGATGCAATTTTCATCATTTTTATTTTGTTTTTGTAGATTTGCATTGCCCACATCAAAGCTGCATACGTGTGCATCACTGTTTCTGCATCATGGAAGGAATCTGATTTATGTGCCCGAAAACATCACCAAGAGCCCTCAGATGCCCTCCATGTTCATTGACTGTGGAGTTAGTTTTATCACTGAGTTTACGAGGTGAACTTTTGTAAATGTTTCTGATTGTGCTGTTGGCTCTTCCAGACCTGCATTGACAACGTTCGGCAAAAATTATCTCAGCTTTCAGATTCTCACAAGTCAATAGAGTGACTGACTTTGTTTTGAACATTTTCTGCACCACTAACTAGTGAAGTCGCTCCAAAACGACACGCTAAGCATTAAAACGATTAATTCATGCTTTTATTTGCCAACACGTCTGAGATGGGAGGCCACCAAGGCTGAACAGCTACGTCACAACACATTTGATAACTGGCTCTAAGCTGCTATGCAGATATTCACTCGGCTCCACTAAAGGACATCCACATTCCTACCAAGATGCAAAACAAATATTTTCCTGATAAATGCCTTGATGACTGAATTTAACCCCAACAAGAGAGACTGCCTCATCGTTGTTAACGCATAAAAAAAACTCACAATAAGACTTAACAGTTATTTAATTCAATATGGTTAAAGCAGAAAATAAAAATGTTGCTGGTGTGTGTTTGTACTCACAGACATTAGCGGTGCCTTTAGGAATGGGCAGGTAGGAGCCAGCACTCCACGCTCGCCCTTGGTAGTTCCTCTTACAGCGACCGCAGTCGGGCCCAGTGGTGTTGTGTTCACACTCGCAGCTCAACTTCTCTTTGTCGTACACACAGCTGTTAGCGTGGAGATTGCATTTGCACCTGTCAAAAAGCAGAGGAGCATGTTCAGGATGGGGATGAAAGAGGACAATGGAATCCACATGGGTTGAATGTTCTCCTGCAGAGTGAAAAGCAGACATCTTATTTGTTAAGTTGGACAATGTGGCTGAAAGGCAGAGCGTCCTTGACAGGATGTGGCACTGGAACACACAGCAGCTACTTCAAGAGATGCTGGTTCAAAAGAGACGGGTGACTGCACAAACAAACCTAATGTTGTTACTTCCTCAATCACTTTCCTTCTGAGCCCTTCCACTCGGGAAGTTTTAATTGTCCCACAGGAAGATGCATAATCGTCACAGTCAATAGATGAGGGAACGTTATGTGTCGGGGAAAAGGACCGAGAGAGGTACGCTGAGGAAAACAGGATGAGGTAAATTGTGAAATGAGCTCTTGGAGAATGAAGGCGTTGAAAGGCCTGTGGCTCTTTGAGACGATGAATAGCTCAGCGTCAGCCGGAGGGTGGCACGGAGCAACGGTACGGCTACCTTCTCCGTGACAAATTAATATGAGATGGGATCTCAGAGGCATATCTCAGTTTGGAAAGAGGGACTCCCTTAAGGTGCTCTAAATCCTCGCTCACATCCTGCCCACCAGAGCCCCCATTTAATAATAAACTCAGCAAAGTTGTTTTCTGCTCTGGCTAGATGAGTCGGGGGGAGGGGTGTGTGTATCTGTTAAATTAATGGATGAGTCTCATGCTTGGTGAAGTACTAAAATGGAGAATTTAGAGGCTGTAGTTGATGACAAGGCAACTAAGTGTCTCACACACAAGTCGTGACAACGTGGTGTACTGATGCCAGAGTTCTTCTTCAGTGGTTGATATGAAATTAAGAACAACAGGATGATCTGTTTTACACAATAAATGTGTTTCTGTGTCATTAAGTTTCACAGGTTTTCCTTTACATGCAGTGTTTGCATTTTATTATTTGTTCATCTGAAATGCAGCAGTCATCGATGTAGCGTCAATATTATCTAGAACTACAGCAAATCAGAGAAAAATGATGCAATAAGGATTACTTTGGCAAAACAAACAACCTCTGATTTCAATTGTGTAAATGTCACAAAAAAGTTGCTGACCTGTAAGAAACTGGCTTTATCTAAAAAGCAAAGCAAGATCTTAACATTTAAAGGTGTCGATCACTTGTTTAATCAATGCATTTGCAGTGGGTTAGTAGGAACTGAAAGAGACAAAGACAGAAGCAAACTTATTTGACTCTAGAAATCTAACCTGCACACCAGTGGCGTGTCACCAGTCTCGGTGTCGAGTTGGATGCTGGGTTTACGATGGTGCCACAGATAAACGCTGGTGACGGCATGTATTTTTCCAATTGCAACATCTAACTTGTTTGAAATATACATTGAAACTGCGACACCTGGAATCTGTGATTCATGCCTTCACCACTTCCTGGTTAGACTTTGCAAATGCATTACTTGTCGGAGTGCCAGCCTCAGCTATAAACAGACTGAAGTGAGTCCAAAATGCTGCAGCGAGGTTCTTGACCAATGCAAACCGGTGGGGTCATGTCACCCCAATTCTCGCGCGTCTGCACTGGCTCCCTGTCCTGTTCAGGTTTCGGTTCAAGATTCTGCTTTTTGTTTTTGAAGCACTAAATGGCCGTGCACCAACATAGTTGTTTGACATAAGCCTACCGACGCGCTCACTGTGGTCGGCCGACTTTCTGTTGCTTAGCACCACCTTAATGAACTATAAAATGAGGGGGGGAGAGTGCCTTTGTGCATGCTGCGGCTGTTCTCTGGACTGCTTTGCTTGGATGGATCCATCCATCAGCATCTATTATGGTCTTCAAGTCTTGATTAAAAACAGATTCTTATGACTTGACTTTTAAATCGTGAATTTGTTCTTGTTAAATTCTTTTTTTTGTTATTTTATCTGTATTTTATTCAGGTTTTATTGACTGAATAACAGCCATTTTGGTGGTTTGACTTTTTTCTTTAGCTGTGTTTTATGATTTGATGAATTTTTAGTACTTCTCTTCCTGTCTATATGTAAGGTGCTTTGGTCAGCTCTCATGCTATTTGGAAATGCACTTAATAAATAAAGTGGTATGGTATGGTATGGTATGGTATGGTAATGTATGGTATGGTAAGAATGCCTTGTAAGTTGTACTCTGGACAAGAAAAAAGAACAGGAATGCCTAATTTTCAGAAGTGAGTCACATCACAGCTGAGCTTCAGACGACAGGATTTGGAGTCTTATTTTTTGATATTTGGATATTTCACTTCTGATTGGGTAACAGCAACGCAACTCTACCACTGACATGGATGTTTAAATAACACAAACCTGGAGGAGCTTCTGCCGTGTGGTTCAGTTGCTAATGCTAATGGTTAGCTTCTACTAACTGAGACATTCTCTACCATCTACTTTTCACTGAAACAACAGCCTTCCCAGTCGCGAGACAAAATGGGTGAGTTCATGCTACAGCTTGATGTAGAGCTGTCAGGCTTTTCAAATCCTAGAGTTTGATTGTCTATTTTTTTCATAAGCTAATGCAGGAGATATGTGTGGGAGATTAATTTAATGTTCAGCCTGCATAAAAAACTCAGAGTGACCGAATATAATCAGAAAGCAGATTAAAAATATATTTTGTTTCAGGGTTTCACATCTTTAATTGTAGTTTTGTTTGAGTTTTACATTAAACTTTGTCCCACTGACCCATGCTGGATCTAAGCAGGCAACTGAATTCAGACTTAATGGGCTGAAATCCATCCTACAGCAGATGGACAGGTCACTAACGCTCTGTGCAAAACTCAAAAATAAATAAACAAAACAAAAACAATATAATTTAATTCAATATTCCATGTTTGACCCTTGCCATTTAAGTCCGCAGTGATCACAGGGGTAATAATTTAGCAAAGAGACTAAATGAGAAGAAGTTTCTCAGGCTGACAGTGGAAAAAGTCGGCATACGATCAGAATCTGCTCCCACAAGGTCCAATCCAATCACCGTTTGCAGAGCTTTATACTATTGTGTGTGTGTTAGACTTCATGTGGACCCTTTGTCGTCTAACCTTCAGATTCTTTCAACATCGGCAACATTTTAATCAGCGTCCAGGAATGAAGGCGCCGTCTGCATAATGATCGAGAGTGCCGGTGAGGCCCGCAGGTCTCCCAGCCACCGGCTCAGTTCAGCTTCCAATCAGCTCCTCTGCTCAGACGCCAGGGGAGACTTCCTCACCCGCCACAGCATCTTCAGAGGAAGGAACAAGCGCACTCTTTAACTGTGTTTCAACAGCAAATTCCCTCCTGAGTTTTTAACATTTCATCTTCTCTTTGCACCACTTCTCCTGACCTCTTGTCTGTGTTTGGATCCACCTCTCCACGTCCCTCCCCTCCTTCCTCCCATTAGTCTGTCTCTCTAAACTCTGCTCCAGCATTTCCCCACTAATGAATATTCATGCAGCTGAGGCGTCTTTGTTTTTGTGTGGTGCTCTCAAAGTGATATCGCTTAAGGCGTTACTGAGTGTGCCAGCCACCAGCGAGCCGCACACCCTGATATGTATTCATAAAATCCCCCTGTGAGGCTGCAAGCTCAAATTGCCCGACTGGACGAATAATAATATCAATATTTAAAGAAGGGAAAAAAAAAGAAAGAAGACTGTCTATTGTCAAATTTAAATTGTTCTGATAAAGTCCTCGATTTTTATCAAAGTTTTACCTTAAATCAATTAACTCAGCGCAAGCTAGCTGAAATGTTTCTGTTTCATTTTTAAATTTGAGAGCCAAACATTCTTTGAAGGAAAACATGTCACATGCCCCCTTTATTTAGAAATTTGAAGGTGTAGTTCACTGAAAACCTGTATTTTAATTTTTTTTCTGATTATAATCGATCATTCAGAGTTTTTCATTCAAGCTGAACATGAAAAAAGTCTCGTACACCTCTCTCCTGCATTAGCTTCTGAGTGAAAATAGACAGTGAAACTCTAGGATTTGAAAAGCCTGAAAGATCTACGTCAAGCTGTAGCATGGAGTCACCCATGACTTGCAACAGGGAAAGATGTTGTTTTCGCGTCCGGTGGATGGCAGAGAACGTCTCGGCTAGTAGAAGCAAACCCTTAACATTAGCAACTGAACCACACAGAAGAAGCTCCTCCAGGTTTGCGTTCTATGTGGAGATAAACATCCATGTTGCAAGTCAGTGGTAGAGTCGTGATGCTGTTATCCAATCAGAGATGAGATGTCCAAATATCAGTCGTCTGAACCTGTTTTCTCATCCAGCTGACATCTCCCTGCTGACACAGGCCCATCTGGGCTTCTTTTCCCCAGAATACAACTGACAAGGCATTCATTCCTACCAGAGACTGCTGCAAATGTATTGGTTGAGTGCACCACAACTATTTTGAGAAATAATGGAGTTTTGTTCAAATCTTTTAAATAATTTCATGCATGACCCCATTCAATGTTTGGGACATTGAGCGCAATCACCGCACGAGACTATAGCCCCATTTGTAAAAGTACATTTGCTTTAGCCATTTTAGCGTTGGTTTTGGCGGCCATCTTGAATTACGTCGACTACAGAAGTTTAACTTCTGATGATAACTGAAGATGATTTTATGAGAGTTTTACTAAAAATTGATCTTTAGTTCATGAGAAATGTTGTTAATGAAAACAAACAAATAGTCTAAAACATTAGAATATTCTTAAATGTCGTTTATAAAAACTCTAAAAAAAATCTATATCCATTTAATTCTTTTTGGCCAAGTTAATTTCCCTAACATTACCTCATCTTGCCGAGAATGACACCCAAGCCAAAAGTGTCAGCCACTAATTAACAATAATTATCTTCAATCCAAGATTACAGCATCCATAATGAGCAAAGCTGCTGATCCCAAGAAATAGAGCAGAATCAACTCAACGTGGTCTTTGTGTTAACTAAGTGAATCAATTAACTTCTGAATGTAATCGGCAGGTGTTTTCATGCACAAGCCTACTTGGTCAAATGCTTGGTTAATAGGTCATTTTT